CCCCAAAACCCCAAAACCCCAAAACCCCAAACTATTAAAATAAAACTAATTTGTGAGTAATAGAAATCGTAATAATCATTTTAGATTTAAAATCTATTCTCAAAGTCTTAGATTTATATTTAAGATCTATTTGAATTGCAATATTTCAGTTATTCTCTTCTTTAATTTCCTCTCAATCTTTGACAACATACTTTATATAGTCCTACTGCTCCTGAGTGAGCTGAACCTTTTCGACTTCTTTTCTCTCTGGGTCTGGCTTGCTACTTCTTGTCATAATTTTGCGAGCAGTATTATTAATTTTTTTCTCCATGTTCTTTCTAGCTCTCTCATCATTCTTTATTTGCTATTGAAGTATCTAATCTCTCTCAGCCTTCTTAAGCCTCTCCACCTTTAAATTTCTCCTTTAAATATCAAGTCTTCTTTCGCAATCATAGACTTCTTAAATACGCTTTTATACTTCAGGTCTTTGATCTGTGTTGTTAACTATATATTCTCGAGCTTCCAAAAGATAATTCAACCTATTTTCAATCTATTCAAGTTATTTAACTGAGTCTTTGTTGTTATCTTTGCCTGGTTCAATGATCTGGCATATCTTGTATATAGCTTCATACAATCTATTCATATCAGAGATCTGCTACTGCTTTTGTTATTTCGTTTGATTCTAATTTTTGTTGTTACTGGCTGTTTTTTATTCGAAGTATGTTTACCTGTCCTTCTTATTCTTTAATTAATTTTCAAGCCTTATCAAATTTTCCTCATATAGCTTTAAATCTAATTCTTTCTACTCAATTACCGAATTTGTGTCTTTAACCTGCTTTTCAAGAAGTTTTTCCTCTTCATTAATATTTTCTATTATGAATAAATTCTCTTTTTTAAGGTGCATGATCAGCTTTTTGAATTATTTAGTGTTTATAGGTAAATCCTCATCAACTACTTTTTAGGGCTTTCCAGCTTTATCAGCTCTCTTAGTTTTAGTAATAAAGACGCTACTCTGGTCCTCAGGTTCTTCATCAGATACATTCATTTCATCATTTATGCTGCTGGTGGGCTTTTTCTCATCCTTGGAAGTTTGCTTCAGAACTTGCTTAACAAAACTCTTAAGTTCTTTATAATCAGTTAACTATGTATCAACTTTCTTAAGGTCATTCTTAATTTCTTTGATTTGAGAGCTAATATCGTCTATCTCTTTAGATAAGCCGTTTTTTTCTTTTTTAAGTTTCTCTTGCTCGCCATTTAACTCAGAATTCTTGAAATTTATTTGCTCCAAATAATCATGAAATCTCTGGCAATCTTCATCAAATTGATGCTTAGCCTCTCTTATTTTCTCCTACTCCATAATGATATAGTCCTTAAGACGCTCTGACTCCTCATTAATATTCTAAATTGACATGTTAGACCTTAGTATATCTCTGGTAAGCGTTACAAACTCTTTGGGTGTTTCACTGAATTGATTATTTCTACGAAGAATGTCAAGAGCAGCTAACTTAGAACTTAGTTTTGTCTTTTTAGAGAACATACTTTGCTAATCAAACTTATCAATCATATCTTGAAAAGTTAATTGTGCATTGGAGTTATCTAAAGTTTTATCTATTACAGCTATAGCTGTGCTATTAGGATTATTCTAGTTATTATGAAGAGTTGCAGCTGATTAGCTTTTCAGCATGCGCTTTTTTTTGTTTTAAAGTCGAACAGGCTAATTTAAAGGTTCAATGTCATTAATATCCCTCACAATTCCCTCTCGATTTTTATGGCTTTTAAGCTATAAAGGAACTTAAATAGGGGAAATATAACTTTCTTCCTAGACTCTCTTTATATTCTCGTAATTGTAAAGAAGTTTCTCAGTCTCCTTGAATATCTTAAATGGATTTTCCTTCATCTTGTATTCATTCGAAATAATAGAATTTGGGTTGATTAAAGAACTACCATTTATTCTTTTAGATTGAGTGATTGTAGTAGAGTTTTGATTATCAACTGTGAGAGCCAATTCTCTTGATTGCTCAGATTGATAGGTCTTTATAGGGTTCATCCAACCCTTATTCAAGCACAAAGTCGGTAAATTAGTTGAAACATTCCAGTGCTATTTTAGCTCCTTTACTGTTTTATACTCTGGAGAAGTCTCAATATTCGGTAATTTCAAGTATGATGAAGATGCAGTTACATTTGAATCTTTTCTCAATCTCGAATTGGACTACTTATTAAAGGTAGTTGAGTCAAGAAGAGCTGAGTGCGACTAACTTTTTAACATATTTATAATAAATTCCAATATTTCTTTACATTCCTATAATACTAAAATCAAAAATAAAATCCCTATCTTCTGGGGTTTTGGGGTTTTGGGGTTTTGGGG